TCGCAACAATGCAAATTAATGTGATTTTAAATAGTACTACTTAATTAATGTTTTCACATGGGATGATCGAATTGTCGTGTCCACTCTATTTATACGCTGAATGGTAGAATCGGTAAAGATCAATTCCCCTGCTTTCTGAACAGCCTGTGTAATTATTATGCAAGACTTTTATAATATAAGTCTCAAAATAAAAGTCTTTGAAAACTTAAAAATATTTATCTCGCTGATAATTATTATGAAAGACTTCTATTATATAAGTCTTAAAATAATAGTTATCGATGACTTAAACAAATTTTCTCACACATAATTATTATCAAAAGACTTTTATAATTCTTACGAAAATTTGGATGACTTTTTTAAAACACCACCATGAAATAATTATTATCTGGGTCTCTGGTTAGAATCTATCTGGGGCTTACCTGGCATCACTCATGCAAATTATGACTTTGCAATTTAATAGTAAATTCTTCTGTCAAGGTCATCGTTAACATTACCGATGACAGTTAAGTCTTAGGTGGACGTTTATATCAGAATCTCATTTTTGTGAAAAGTGCAGATAGAGGGTATTGAATATAAGCCCTTGATATGTATCTATTATTATTATGGGACATATGCACCGCGACCTCTAAAGTGATCTATTGTCTGTGGCCCCCGCCCTACATGGGAAGGCTTTTAATATAGCCTATTACTTCCAAGGGCGTTTTGTTTTAAATTTCGAATGGATTAAGTGAGAGAGTGTTAATATGTAGGTGCTGCGATACAAATTTGTATACATATTCAATTTTTCTGTCAAATGCACGCATACATACGTATACGCATGCTATGGAGGTCCGCCTTAAATACGAGTGTACTGTTTATACATAAGTACATATGTAATACGGGTACATACGTTTACACTTATAGAACTTCAAAGCTTCTTACATTTTGCTCACCAATTTGCACCTCATCCGATTTATCCTTTAGAGCCGCCTGTATTGGCTGTATTAGCATAGAAATAGCCGACAGGGTCGCTTCATGTAGTCGATTGAATTCATCAAAGCAACCCCAAGCGCCGCAGCGCGCCAGTCCAGTTAAAATTAAGCTCATCGACTCAGTGTCTACATTCTGCAAGGAGATACATACATTTGCATGCAGATGCATTTTTGTTATTACCACGGATGGAATGAAGTGCATTAACAACTTTCTTACTCGATACAAAGCTAAAGATTTACATACTAATTCCCGCCTGTCATCCTCAACTCACCTCATCACAGTTGAAAACCAACACTAAACGGCCCAGCATTCCCCCTAACGCTTTCACACACTCCGTTTTTCCAGTTCCAGCCGGTCCAAATGGATTTCCACCCAATCCCATATGCATTGCTTGGGTGAGGATGAGATAACATTTATGCGTCAACTTTGTATGCACCAGCTTGTTGGGATTGCCGAGAAACTCATAGGAATATTCGAACTCAGCGTAAACCATACGCACGAAAACTAAACGCCCATCAGCGCCGGCCAAATAGAACTTTAACTGACACAACCAATGCCAATCGGTAACGTGCATCACATTGTGCTGCTGCAACTCCTCCACTACCGACGCATAGTGCACCAAATCAAATAACAGAGTGCGCAGCTTAATCTGCAGCAGTGTGTCGTTTGTTTGGTTTTTCATATTGGAGAAGTGTGTTATTTCTGTGTTCAACGCCTGATGCAGCTTTTGCAGTGACATGGACTGTATGGCCTTCTCTGTTTGTGTGGTGAATTGAATGCCACGGGTGGTGCTCAACACTTGGATGGGGTATTGTCGTAGCGTCGACTCGGAAAATTTGTCTGCGCCTGTGGCTGAGCAGCATTCAAATATCGCATCCTTAAGTGTACTCTGTATGGAGCTAACTAAGTGATTGAGCCAATCCTGATGGAATGAAACATGAAAAGAGACAGGCCAACAAAGTGAATGGCTAATGTGAGTGTAAATTCTTTTGAAAGCAAGTAAGTAGTTTGATTGACTGTCTTGCTCAGATGTAAATATGTTGTTTGTTCACAAACCTCTATAGGTCCTTTCATAAGCACAATTTGTCGCAACTGCAGAACATCTCCTTCAGCGCTCTGTACCGATTGTATGGTGTGCGCAGTTGGTTCTTCACTCGACGATTTAACTATGCCCAGACTGTGACAGCCAGGAAAGAGCTTTTTGATGTGTTTTTGTATAACTTCAACATCTTTTGTTGCTTGTCCCAGTATCTCCAACAAATCGTCGTCTCCAAGAAAATAGAAGCGTGGGAAAGAATTTCGTTTATCCTGCATCGCAGTAAAGCTGCACATAAGAGGGATTGAATTTAAATGGAAAATTATATTAACTTACCATAATGTAGGTCATCAGATTGTTTTGACAACGCGAAAGTTGCTTTTCCAGTGAACTAACTATGGCTGATATATTGTTAATTTTGATAAGTGAAATCACACGGGGGTCAGCTTGAATTTCACGCATCACAAAGCGGAAGTCCTTGTCAGTGCGCCGAAATAACGATTCTTCCTTTCGCAGAGTACCAGCGCCAAAGACAGGTTCCAGGTATACCCATCTAAAAAAGAGTTTCTTTATTAAAGGCCTGTATGCAGCTCTCAAGAAAAGCAAAACTCCATATAAAATGACGTATAAGAAATGGCTAAGAAATTTTCTTGAGTCAAATTTCCTTAAGGCAGTACGCAGTTCTTAAGAAATTTACTACGCTTTCTACTACGGTTTTCTAAAGTTTTTTGTGAAAAAAGTGCACAAGGCAACCCAGGTTTGCAACAGAAATATATGCCCGTTCCATTATTTCTTGAGGAAAGAGTGAGGCAACAGGCTGTGAGGTAAATGTCAAAATTCCTCGGACACACACGCAAAATAAAGGCAATTTTTTCTTGACCGTTTTCTTGAGAGCTGCATACAGGGCTTAAAAGTTTAAGTTGCTATTGAGGCATTTCATGTCACCGCGGCCACCTCTGTGCGCGACCTCTATAGACTTGGATGAAAGTTGAAGAGATTGAAGGTCTAGGTGACATGAATATACGTGCATTATATTTTGCCAATATGACGTAGGGTTGCCTATTTACACGGGATTTAAATTTTAAGAAAACGTCATGCATACCTTTCTTTAAAGTGCTGTATCTTGGAAACCTTTTAACGCAACTTAATGAAACAAAACGTATTTCTTCCGTCTTATTATGGGCTTTAATTGTGGTTTTATTACATTAATATGCAATGTATAAAAACAAAAAAAAAATTATGTATTTGTCAATGTTATTGTGGCTTTATTTTTAATATTTTAATTGAGCTTTGTACCACGATTTTTTATTAGGAAAAATTGAAAAAGCAACAATGTCTAAGCGGTAGAAGTTATAGCACTATTTCGGAGATCACCACATCTCCTCATCAGACTTCTTTTTTCTAGACTTCAGCAGGGATCGAACCTGCGAATTCGATGTTCAAAGTCAGAAGCGTTAACCACTGAGCTATGTACATCCCGTAAACTCTTGCTAATTGCTTTTTCCTTATTCAACCAACTACTAGCAAGTGCAGCTGATTTGCCGCTATTTAAACTCGACAGCGTGGTTGTTGTTGTCAATTCTATACATCCATTTGCTTATTTGCTTTTTCGTATAGTTTCAGGCAGGCTCTTCCTAAACTATGTATTTGTCAATGTTATTGTGGCTTCTTAACATTTTATTTTTAATATTTTTATTGGGCTTTGTACCACGATTGTTTATTAGGAAAAATTGAAAAAGCAACAAAGTCTAAGCGGTAGAAGTTATAGCACTATTTCGGAGATCACCACATCTCCTCATCAGACTTCTTCTTTTTTCTAGACTTCAGCAGGGATCGAACCTGCATAACCTGAATTAGCAACAAGAGTTTACGGGATGTACATAGCTCAGTGGTTAACGCTTCTGACTTTGAACATCGAATTCGCAGGTTCGATCCCTGCTGAAGTCTAGAAAAAAGAAGAAGTCTGATGAGGAGATGTGGTGATACAAATGTATACATAAATGATCAGGATGAAAAAAGAAATCGATAAAGCCATGTCTGTCTGTCCGTCCGTCTGTCCGTCTGTCCGTCCGTCCGTGTACACGATAACTCGAGCAAAAAGTGAGATATCCCAACGAAATTTGGTATGTACGTTTCCGTTAATCCAAGGTAGGTTGGTATTGAAAATGGGCGAAATCGGACTGTAACCACGCCCACTTCCCATATAACGGTAATTTTTAGAAATACGAAAACTGCGATATTTTAGTACCTACTGAAGATTATTCACTCAAAATTGATATTTACAACAATTTTTCGACGAAAAATAAGATTATTACAAATTTTTGGAAAATGGGCGTAGCCACGCCCACTTATGGTTACATGTGTGTAACTTGGTAACCGCTGCACCAATTTCTTCCAAACTTGGCACAGTTGTTGGCCTTGGTACAGTATACTAAATGGAAGAAAATTTAAAAAATCGGTATATAACGGTAATTTAGAGAGATACAAAATCTTCAATAAATCAGTAATATTAAAGCTAATTTATTCAAAATTGATGCTTGCAACAATTCTTTACCAAGAAATACGTTTATGGTAAAATTTTGGAAAATGGGCGTGGCACCGCCCACTTATAATCACATATATGTATGTATATCGGTAACCGTTCTACCAATTTATACCAAACTCGGTATTTTTATTGTGCTTGCCACATAAAAGCAAAACGTTGAAAATTATTGAAATCGGATTAAAATTACGGCCGCTTTTCATATAACGGTAAATTTCAGAAATGCTTGAAACTGCGATATTTCGAAATTTAAGGACGCTAATTTACTCAAAATTGATACACCCGGCTTACCATGTAGCGGTAGCCTTCGGAAAGGTGAAAAAAAACATTTATTTAATACTTGCGCCGGGTATTTAATGTTCGGCTCCGCCCGAACTTAGACTTTCTTATTTGTTGATTTTTTTTTTGATTATAGCATTTTTAAAATTTTTTCTTTTTAATGAGCATAATGGGCTACTTATGCATTTGGACTATAGATCGTCTAACGCAATATGATAAATAAGGATATGAAGCTCCCTAACTTGATGTTATTTAAACTTTTAAACTAGCCTAAAATAAGATTAAAGTAATTGGCACGTAGTCATGGTCAAAATAAAGTCCACTGAAAAGTTAGTTGCAGTTATTTTTTACAGGCATCCATTTGGTAGAGGGCTTCGGGTGTATGAATTTGTTGTAACATCAGGAGTTGAATACTTGCTTTAGCTGCCAGCCAGTCTCTTAAAATGTCCTCCAATCACGTCGTAAGCAGATTTCCCATGCGAACTTGCAACAAAGTTCAATTCTGCTATTTCCTTGAAGGGATTTTCATGATTTCAGACCTTTAGTAAAGTTAATACGATTTATTCATATTGTTTTTGTTTTTTACACACCTTTCCTCTTTCAAAAATATACAATTTCATAAAATTTCAATGTCTATTTATCATATTGCTCTAACGTTAAACGATCTAGAGTCCAAATGCATAAGTAGCCCATTATGCCCATTTGGGTACTTAAAGTTGACATTATAGACAATGTTTTTATGTAAAAAGAAAAATTTTTAAAAATGCTATAATCAAAAAAAAAATCAAAAAGAAAAACGTTTCCTTAATTTTTTTTGTTTTTTATACATTGCATATTAATGTAACAAAAGCACAATTAAGACGGAAGAAATAAATTTTGTTTCATTAAGCTGCGTTTAAAGGTTTCCAAGATACAGCACTTTAAAGAAAGGTATGCATGACGTTTTCTTAAAGTTTAAATTCCGTGTAAATAGGCAACCCTACGTTATATCGGCAAAATATGCTGCACGTATATTCATGTCACCTAGACCTTCAATCTCTTCAACTTTCATCCAAATCTATAGAGGTCGCGCACAGAGGTGGCCGCGGTGACATGAAATGCCTCTATTGCAAATGGAAAAGCCAAAGTTTGGAGTGGCTATATGTAACCGTTTGTTTCAATCCGTGAGTAAGACTGAGTTCAGACACGGAAACTTGTATGGCCCATTTTTGGCAAATTCTCTTTTGGTGTTTCCCGACCCATTCACACAGGGCAATCCTTTTGTACACAATTGTTGTTGTCAGCTGTGAACCGCCAACTTCAATTACTCAGACGAACAAGAGCACAAAGCGTGTTGCCCGAGCCCGAGCAACTACGTGCCCTTCCCCTTTCCTCGTCGCTCCCTCTCCCAAAAGCAACGAGTTGCCGCAACAAAAGTTTCCGTGTCTGAACTCAGTCTAACAGGTTGAGGATGATGAACAAAGACCAATATGGATGTTGCAACATTATGGACTTTTGCTTGCAACTTCGACGAATATGACATACACACATCAAGAAACATACAGTGCTTGGCATATTTTTCTAGCAAACTGAGCGAAGCTTTGAGCCTCATACTGAATACTGTAATCTTTCCAAGCCAAGATTTTATTAATTGACATGGCAGGAAAGCAAGTCAACACGACGGATCTCTCGATAAAGCTGCGATTTAAGTGTCATCAAAATTTTCGTCTCTTATAAAAATAATAGATTGACACTTACACATATGTTAGTGGTTGGCCGAGCTTCCCCTCCGATTTGTGCCGTGCGGGTTGATGTTGTCACACAAAGAGGAGGACCTACAGTTTTACGCCGACTCCGAATGGATGTTTTCCATGGTAGAAATACACTCAGAGTAGGCTGGCCAGATGCGCTGATTTAATCAGTACAAGTGCTGATTTTTTTCTATTGTACTGATTTTTAAGAGCCCGAAATCAGTACGCAAAATCTACTGATTTTTTGAGTTTGTACTGATTTTGTACTGATTTTTATATTTAATAAATTAAATGTAAATTGGTGTAATTGACATTTGCTTGAGGTTTACATGTTCAAAACAATGGTTTTTGACAACTCATACGTGTGAGCAGATTGAAGTCATTATTAAAAAGGTGTCAGATTGCAATTGTTTCGTTTCCTAGGATTTCGCAAAATAACAAATCGTTTGGATTCAACCCAACACAACTTCACGATTTGCAGGGTTTACAGGATTTACAGGAAAAGCTGGTTTCGCCATTAATAAATCTTATGAAAGGTTGTGGTGAGTTAATCATATATTAAGTACACTGAGAAGATGACAATAAGAGATAATGTTTTGATTATAATAAAACATCCACTGAGATATCAGCTGGCAGTATGTCAAACTTAAGACGACTACTGCTACGGTGCAATTAAGTTCTAAAAATTTGGAAAAGGTGCAAACTACCGACTCTTGGATATGATATATGTAGTTTCGAATGTGAATGTTGTATTTAATAAGCACACCAACTAAATATGTTTTAAATTTGTAGCTTAAAATCTGCAAACAGATTCTGACTCGAGCTCGTCTTTTACTGAAACTGAATGGGCTACCATTTTTTTTTTAATTTTTTCAATTTTTATAAATTTTCTAGAAAGTTTGAGACTTCAACTCACTTGTCTTTTGTTATAGAATTAACTATATTTAAAAAAAAAATTTAATTAAGTAAGGAAAGAAAAAATTTTCAAAACCTTGTCAATAC